CGGGCCTGACTGCAGTTCGAACCTTAGAGCCAGTGGCTTGAGAACCATGCCAGGCGCATGTGTGTGCGTACCCAAAATCCTAAGAGGATACTGGCGGAGAAAGGACTGGCACGGCCATCCCCTGTGGGGGCTGATTTCTTACTTTCTTGCTGTCTCCAGTGAAGACGTGTGCCCTATAGCAAACTTAAAAAAAAGTCAGCTCACTTTTTCTATAAAGGGCCAGATAGTGAGTAATTTAGGTTTTGTGATCTCTGTTTTATACTCTTCTTTTATAACTCTAAATATGCAAAACCAGGCCAGCGTGGTGTGGGGGTAAGGCAACTGTGCCCTGCTGGGCTGACAGCACGGCCCACACCTGGTGACTTGGGAAACACTGGACACACATGAGTGTGCACCCAAAGCCCTGAGGAGGGCGAGGTGGGTGAGAAGGGAGCGTGCTGTGACCATCCCTCTCCTGGACAGTGTTTTCTCACTTAAAAACATTTCATTAAAAGCCAAAAAAATGTTTTTAATTTAAAACATGAACGCCCTCAGCTCGTGGACAGTACATAAAAGCAGGGCAGGGCTGTTCTGATAGCCGCCGGCCACAGCCAGGGCCAGTGGGCGTCCTCGTGCTCAGCTGTGGGCATCTCTCGAGCATTGCCCGTCTCGGGAGGGTCTCCCTCGGCTGCAGCTCCATGGCTGCCTTTAGTGGGCAGCAGTGCCCTTGCCACACAAAATGGGAGGAGCCAGGAGCTCACACTTCCTTGTGTCTGCAGCCCCATGGAGTGGAGGCTGGGTCTGGGGTCCGTGTGTGTTCTCATCAGGCCTCTTGGCTAAATTGTGCTCCCAGAGGCATTTTTCTCCTTGATTTTAAAGGGAGACAGTCCAAGGAAAGGTTCAGGAAGGAGACAGGAGGGGTACGGCAGAGGAAGTCCCTGGTGCCTGATGTCACGGACTCCAGGTCATGGCATCTTTTGGCCGAAGGTGCTGGCATTTGACCTTCCTTCGGGAAAGGGTGCTTCTGCTGCAGCTGGTAGGCAGGCCCTTTGGTGTGAGAGGCAGATGCACAGCTCTTGAGCGGGCTGGAGTCGATGCCACCAGCCCCCTATGCTTCTGGGGACCTGCTGCCCCGTGGACCCCTAGGGACACTCGACCTTGGCCTTTCTGGTACATTCTCTGAGGGCTGGTCACACATGCATGTCCCCTGTGCCCACCAGGGGCCCAGTTTGGCAGCATGGGCCAGGGTCTCCCTAGGACAACCCCACAGGGCTGGAATGGCCTAGCCCCCTCAGGCCACCCTTGAGGAGACCCGCCCAGGCCCTTCTGCACAGGACTGTGTAGGCTGGACGTGTCATCCGACTCGGTGGAAAGTTAGGAGACCCCTGCTGCTGCTGTCACAGAAAGCTGCACAGAGCTGCGGCACGCACGAGACAGCCCAAGGCTGAAGTTGTCGCACGAGCACTGCCTGTGGCTTGTCTGCGCAGGACGTGCTGGCCTCCAGGCTGCTGGCTTGGCCAGAGGGCCGGCGCTGCAGCGCATCTGCAGGGGAAGATGAGGCGGGTTTACCTTGAGCTTTGCAGAGTAGGTGGAATTGTAGGAGCAGAAGGACACAACCAGGGAGGCAAATGTCACCAGCACGAGGAATAAGACAAATACGAACTTGAAGTACAAACAGCAAGAGACCCGATAGGGGTGTGTATATGTGTCTTCCAGTCCATTCTGTTGCTAATAACAAAAAAGGACCAAAACCTAGGGGGTAAGGAGCTGTCCCAGATGGCCCGACCAGGTAGTGGCAGGCCAGGAAGCCCCTCAGCCCGCACGGCTCTGGCCCCCACTGTCACCTGCCAAGAGCAGGTGCTGCCCTGAGCCCAGCTCCGAGGTAGGTCATGCAGAACACCTTCACTTTGGCATCCTAGCCGGGGAGAGTGCTGACTTGGAAGCGTTTGGTACTTGACTGGCTGGGAGGGAGCCTCCAGCCTCCCTTTCGGTCTCCTCTGGACCGTTCTGCTGTTGGCATTATGGAGGCTCGTGGCAGTGAAGAGAATGAAGACAGTGACGCCCTTTCCCAGATAGATTTGCCAATTAAAAACCCCGCTGGGCTGGCCACGTGGCCCAGTGGTCAAGGAGCCAGATCCCCTGTGGCCAACGGTGTGGTTCATAGCCCAGCCCCGGCAGTTTAAGACGCACACTGGGCATGTGTGCCCCAGGTCCCAGCAGGAAGGAGCGATGGGGAAGGGATTGCAGGCCTGACCGTGCCCCTTTGTGGGGCACTTTCTCCCTTTCCGCCTGTCTCTCCTTGGCAAGCACATGCACCTTCTGACAATTAATAAAAAAAAAAGTTAAAAGAGGTAAGACTGTCTCTCACTCCAGGAGATTTCCAAATGCTCCATAGATGAGAGAAACCTGCCGCTTCATTTCACAGCTGCTTCTCTGACCGAGGCTCTCTGAAGAGCGTAATGCAGTCGAGTACGTTAAGCAAAGACGAAGACGTGCAGCGGGACTTGGAGAACAGCCTGCAGGTCGAGGCCTACGAGAGGAGGATACGGAGGCTGGAGCAAGAGAAGCTGGAGCTGAGCAGGAAGCTGCAAGGTGAGGGCGGCTCCGCTGGCTCCTGCTCGGCCCGGCCGCTGTGCGCCGGTCGGGCCAGCTCACGCCGTGTCTTCCCACCCAGAGTCCACCCAGACTGTGCAGTCCCTCCATAGCTCCACGCGGGCCTTGGGCGGTTCAAACCGGGACAAGGAGGTCAAAAAGCTGAACGAAGAGATAGAGCGTTTGAAGAATAAGCTGGCAGGTGAGCGTTCTGAAGTGCAGCCGCCGAGCCGCTGTCCTCGGGCACTAACCTCTCGGACGGCTTTCCCCAGGGTGGAAAGCAGATCGAAGCTTAGATTTCAGTGCACCCCGTATAGAGTGCTGGCGTTGTCTCTGTATAGCTGGAATTATTTTTGCCAACTTGCTTTGTTTTAACAGTACAGTCACACTATAGTTACCAGCTAGACGCCATTCCTAACACCTGCCCATAAACTGCCAGTGCTCGCCTGTCTCAGTTGCCCTTTGTGGCTCTGAGGCAGGGTTGCCATCGCTTTCTCTTGAACTTGTCGGTTTTGTCTCCTCTTCAGCACTTTAGCCTCAGGTCTCCCCTCGCCGCCTTCCTCTTGCAGTTTTTTGGTGCATCGGAGCTTCCCAAAGCCTCCAGCCCCTCCCCCCAGCCTTGACCCTTCACACGTGGGTCGGTTCTGCGCTTGCCTCTCACCTCCAACTCCCACCCTGAGTCTGTCACCTTTGCTCCATGTCCTCTCTGGAACCGTACCGTCAGTCCAGAAGAACGCTTCAAGTTCACTGAAAGCTGTTCCCCTAAGAAAGAGCCTGTCATTGTGGCCACTCCCACAGTTCAGGGGTCCCACGTCTGACGCACGTATGCCCCACAGCCCCCAGGCTCATAGTCTCTGGAGGAGGGAGCAGACGTGACCAGATGTAGTTTCGTGAGCCTGTTCATGTGGGCAGGAGGCGCATGGCACGGTGTGTGTGTGAGAGAGAGAGCGAGCGGGAGAGAGAGGGAGAGAGTGCGAGAACACCCACTGAATGGAAAGGCAGTTGGAATCCTTTAAGTATTAATTTGCTATCCAAGGTTAGCAGCAAGGTTTTGCAAATAAAGTTACTGCACATAAGGGACATCACTCCCCCATTGCCCAGATTCAAGCAGGCTCGAGCGACAGCTGGAGGACTCGGTGACACTGCGGCACGAGCAGGAGGACTCCACGCATCGGCTGAAGGGGCTGGAGCAGCAGTACCGCCTGGCACGGCAGGAGAAGGAGGACCTCCACAGGGTAGGCCAGGCTCACAGGACTGCGTTCCAAGGCTCTGCACTCACAGTGTTGAAGGCCTGCTCGGGACCCTCGCTTGTGGCCCAGGATCCCTGCTGCCCCCGGCTGTTGTGCAGCCTCCTGAGTCAGCCAGCAGAGCCCGGGGTCCCAGGTTGAAGGTGGCCTTCATGCCGGCTTGAAGCTGGCACCCAGGCCTGCCGAGTATGCAGGGGACAGGGGGTCCAGAGCATGCTGCAGGGTCCACAGAGACAGCTGCGGCCTCCGCCCACTGTCTCAGAAGGAACTTCACAGTTAGGACAGACAGCTGCAAGAGAGAGAACTCTCTGTAGACTTGGCCTTCAGTAAGAAGTGCCACCTTTGTGCTCGCGTGCCAGCGTATCACTCCACAGTTGGCACATCTGTTCTAGAATGTATGTGTTTGTGCACGGAAGTCCTTGAGCCTGTACTTTGGAATTTGTTCTCTCAAATGGTCGGGATTTCAAGCCCTCATTTCCTTAGTTCACCTGTGTGTCATCCATCTATGGCAGCCAGTCCGGAAGTGCAGAGTGGGGTGGGTGGCATCTCACTGCTCTGACTGAGCGACAGCAGCACCATGAGCAGGCCCAGAAAGGCCTAGGGGCCTCCCCTTCCTGTTGTGGCCACACATGCCGTGGGAAGCAGCCCACTGGGCTGAGGTGCTGAGCATCAGCTTCTCACTGTCCCCAAACTGCCAGCAGGCATGACCATGACAGCCACAGGCTTCGTGGGCCTGCCAGCAGCAGAGAGGGTGGGGCTGCCAGCACTGCCAGGGGTGCTGTCCAGGGCGAGTCCTCACCTGGCCCAGGGCACAGCCAGCACCTATGCTGCAGCGAGTGAGGCTTAGCCGTCCCCCGATTTTGATTGCCTGGTTCTTCACCCCGATTTAACCCAAAGCACGTTCATACATAGGACTCTGTGATTTGGCTGTGTTTGAGTACTAGGTGGAGTGCCCACGTCCACACTTCGTCCCTGTCATGGCTCTGTAGGTGGGCGAGGCTGAAGCTCAAGCCAGAGTCGCTGCGGCCTGCAGGCTCCTCACCAGCTGCAGGGCCTCTCCTGTGGCCGGGGTGGGCAGAGCAGGAAGGGGAGTTCTCAGATGTGTGGCTTGTGGTTTGTGACCAGCATTGGCTGTCACTTTTAAGTCTAGCACAGTGGAAGAGGGAACTTGAGCCCTCCGAGTGTTCATTAAGTAAATGTAAAACATCTGTGATTATTTGTTCAGCAATTGGTTGAAGCATCAGAGAGGTTGAAATCCCAGGCCAGAGAACTGAAAGACGCCCACCAGCAGAGAAAGCTGGCCCTGCAAGAGTTCTCAGAGCTCAACGAGCGCATGGCCGAGCTCCGCTCCCAGAAGCAGAAGGTGTCCCGACAGCTCCGGGACAAGGCAGAGGAGATGGAGGTGGCCATGCAGAAGATCGACTCGATGCGGCAAGATGCTCGCAGATCCGAGAAGCTCAGGAAAGAGGTAGCCGGTGGCTCTGGGTGGTCTTAAACACGGGTTAGCTGGACTGCGACACAGGTCCCTTACTGTGGGTCTTAGGCTGTATGCGAAGCCAGATAAGTGTGCAGCAGGTCAGCTCTGCGGAACCAGGCCATGCCTGCCAAGCTTCAGTGCCTGTCAGATCAGTAACAGAGGTCCCTGCGATGTGGTTTCTGTAACTCCTCATCTCAGGGAAACAGAGGGCACTTACCCTGGGAGGTAATACACCTGAAGTGGACCTACGTCCAAGGAGGTAAACGGGGGAGGAAACCCAGGGCCAGCAGCCAGGTCCAGCTAAGGTGCTTGATCCCATATGGCTGGCTGTTTCAAGTCCCGGACCCAGTACCTTGAAAATTACTCTGAGTGTGTCCCTGTCGGCCCAAGAGCTCAAGAAGAGAATGGAGAAGGGATTGCAGCGTGGCCATGCCCCCAGGGGGTGTCTCTCTCAGGCAAGTCTCGTGCCCTAGGGCGTACCGAAAAAAGACAACAGAAGTAAACGCAGCCTGGTCATTTGTCTCAGGGCAGCGGGTCTGGACATTCATGCTTTCAGCACGCCTTTATGCTCTTAAAAGGCATCTGAGGACACCAAAGAGCTTTTTCAAAAAAGTAGGTTAGACCTCTACGTAAATGCTATGTTAGAAGTTAAACCTGAGGCCAGCAGGTACTTTGGTGGTGAAGGCACTGATCTTCCACATGGCCGACCGTGGATTGGGTCTCAGACCCAGCGGCTTGGAAACCATGCCAGGCATCTGTGTGTGCATGCCCCAAACCCCAAAAGGATAATGAAAGAGAAGGGATTGTGGCGTGGCCATCCTCCATGGGGGGTGTGATTTCTCACTTTCCCTCTCATTCTCTCCATCTTTCTCTGCGGAGCGCACACACCCTATGGCAAAAACCTTAAAAAAAAAAAAAGGAAATTAAAACTGAGTGTTTCTCCAATTAGATGAAACTTATTACATGTTAATGAGAATAACATTTTTTTATGAAAAGTATTTTTTTAATTCTGTGAGACAAGTAGCATTTTTGTACTTTAATTCTGGTTTTATAGAGAACCAGGTTCTCACATCTGTGGTGGTATGTGTGCCATTTTGAGTGAAGAACATGAAGATAATGTGGTTTCTACAGATCGGCACTTAGGAAAGAGGGTCCTGTGGGGCCCTGGGTGAGGTCTCAGGGACCCGGGGCTCTCGGCCTCCTCTTGGAAAGCTGTTGCCCTAGGAATCCTGAGTGTCGTGCTGTATTTTAAATCACTTCATCTGAAATTGTTAACACCGAATGGATCAACCCTATGAATTAGAAGGCCTGGAAATAACATGCTCTTGTTTCTTTCAAGTTCAGGACTTTTCGTTGTTAAGCTCAAAATACCTATTTATTTTCTTAGTTTCTCTTACAACTCATACTGTCAGCCGTAGCCAGCTACAAGTCAGTGCAGCCCTGACTAAGAGTCGCCGTCAGGTGTGGGCGAAGTGATAGGCCCGTTCTGCAAGCAGGCTGCCCGTGGACGACCAGGGTGTGATCCAGTCAGCCTGTACACATCTGGCGTGGTGGCAAGGCTGGAGGGTCACTGTGGGAGCTACCCGGGCTGCCTTTATTCCTCTCTCTCTGCGTCTGTCTCTTGTGAAATAAATGAAAGTTTAAATGTAAGTGAATAACTTGGGAGCAGGCATAAAGATTGAGCAAATTGGGCCAGCAGGTGGTGTGGTGGGTAAGGCCATGGACTCACACATGACTGACCACAGTTCGAATCCCAGGCTTAGAGGCTTGGTTTCTCACTTTCCCTCTCTCTCTCTCTCGTCAAGTTAAAAAAAAAAATGAAATTAAATAAAATAATTATTTAAAAAAAAAAAAAAGAAAGAAAAAAAGATGGACCAAACCTGACTCAGGTTGCTTCCTGTTGAAGCTGGCTGATAGGAAACAGGTGTGCAGGGGCTCAACGGGGCCAGCAGTGAAACGTGCTCTGTAAGGCAGATCCACATGGAAAGGTTCACATCTGGAGACACCCTCCACGTGCTGGAACCTGGGGTGGACCGTGGGGTGCTGCCGTCAGGGTGCTGGACCTGTCGGGGTTCTGCTGTCGGGGTGCTGCCTCTCTTTCTCCCCTCCCCTCCTCCCTCGCTCACTTGCTCTCTTAAATGGAAAAAATAAACTTCGAATCTGTGTTCTGCAGGCATCAGAAGTATTTGTTTTCTCTATCTTTTCTTGAAGTTTAATCTTAAGTTAATGTAAACTAGAACTAAGCTTGTTTTATTCCTGGCTGTCCTCTGCCGTTGGTCTGCGGTAGGACTTGGTGGAGGGAGCAGGACCTGAAGCCCCCACGGCAGCCCTGGCAAGTCCAGGTGGCCTGGCTGAGTGCGAGGGCCACTCGTGTTGGACCGCTGCTTTCTCTCTTAGCTGGAAGCTCAGCTGGAGGGCGCGGTGGCCGAGGCCTCCAAGGAGCGCAAGCTTCGCGAGCACAGCGAGAACTTCTGCAAGCAGATGGAGAGCGAGCTCGAGGCCCTCAAGGTAGGGCTGGCCCGAGGCCTGTCCTCTTCCCCAGAGAAATGCTCACACTGTCGCGTGAAAATCGGGTTTGTAGTGTGCTTGTCATGCGAGCCTCACACAGGCCGCTCCGGACAAGACATGGGATGTGGGGAGGTAGGGACAGGACTCTTGCCTCCGTGACAGCTGTGTGTCCAGCAGCCAGGTGGTTCCTCCCCTCCCTGTGTAAACGTTTCGGGCAGCTGGTCACGTGGTACGATAGTTGGTGCCACCGAACAGGTACTGTCGGCTGGGCGGTTTGTGAAGAACAGGTTTCTTTGGCTTTGATTCTGGTGACTGGAAAGTCCAAAGGTGTGGGGCTGGCCTCAGGCCAGCCTCCAGGCTATGTCACAACACGGCGGAAGAGGCAGAGAGGAAGGTCATGCGGATTGAGGGGAAGCAGAATTCCCACACGTGTCTGTCACTCGCATGCCCTAGCCAGGTAGCTGAGGCCCTGCCTCCTCTAGAGCCCTCACAGAGCCCCTGTACCAGGGCCCATGCTTCCAGAACATGCGCCTCTGGGGCAGGCCATCGCTCACACTGTAGCAGACAGCTGATGCCCTCATCGTACCCTGGTCTTCTAAATTTGACAAGTCTATTTCCAAAACAGCCTCCTAAGGCCATGACCTGCTGCTGACGGTGGAAAAGACAGAGCTAGTCATCTGGGGCCAGAGCGTGTAGAGGAGACTCGCAGGAGGAAGTGGGCAAAGGCCGTGGGCTCCGGTGACAGGGACAGAGACTCAGGAGGGAGCTGCGGAAAGGAACAGCCGAAGGCAGTGGGCTCTGGTGACAGAGTGATGCGGAGACTCCTAGGAGGGAGCAGGCGAAGGCAGTGGGTGAAGGCACTAGGCTCCAGTGACAGAGTGGGGTGGGACAGCCGAGCGGCGAGGACCCTCGGAGGGAGGAGTGAAGGCAGTGGGCTCTGGTGACAGTGGCAAGGAGGGTGGGTCTCCACCAGCACAGCGCAGCGTCACGAGTGGTCTCCCTTCGCAGTCTGGCTTCCCTCCTGTGCAGCAGACCTGCTGGGGCCTCTACCTCCCATGCTCCTCATGCACCTCAGTCCACTTCCTGCACACGGGCCCTAGGTGTCAGTTTCTCTCTGCTGTCTGCTGCCCTTAGTCCAGCCATGGTTTTCTTAGCCCCCTGCGTGCCCGCAGCCAAGTCTCCCAGTGCCTTCCAAGCCCTCCACAGTCTGCTCTCAGAATGGAGCCAGGGAACCAGCAGTTGGCAGAATGGCTATGTCACTGGACTCCCATGTAGTTGATAGTGGTTTGAGTCCCGGACCTGGTGGCTTAAACTCACGCCGGGCGCATGTGCGTGCGTGCCCAAGATCCCGAGAGGAGAATAGAATGGAGGAGAAGGGATTGCGACATGACCATCCCCCTTGGGGAGTGATTTCTCACTTACTGTCTCTCTCTCTGTCTGTCTGGCGAGTGCATGCGCCCTATAGCAAAACCTCTCCAAAAAAAAAAATAAGAATGGAGCCGGAGTGAGCTGGTCAGACTGCAGCCGGCAGCCCCTCCCTCGGTGCCACCCTGGCTTCCCAACCCTGCAGGGCCCTCGTGCCTGGTGCCCCAGCAGTGCTGCTGCTTCTGCCCCGGCACTCCTCTTCCTGTGTGCGTCCGGCCAGCCTGGCTCTACCACGCTTTAGTCCTGCGTGAGCACGAGCGTGAGCCCAGCCCACCTCCTTCCTCTCCCGCACGCCTTGGACCTGGGGCTTGCCCCAGCCTGGCCTCCTGCCGTGCTCTCATCGCCTCAGAGGTGCCCTCGCCCCGCTCTGTCACGCCCCCTTGTGCTGTCACTGGCTCACGGGCGTTTTGCTGTCAGTCCCCTCCATGCTCCTGGAGAGTGGTCCTGAGTGTCAGCTCTGCCAGCAGAAGGGTGCCTCACACAGAGTCCACACCCAGAAGGATGTGTGCATGAGCAGGTGGCGTGAGGCCACAACGCATGGGACAGAGCCGCGGGCCCCACGCAGATGCTGCCGCCCCGAGCCTGCCCACTACATCAGCTGGCGCCTGTGGTGGGAGGGATGGGACAGCCCTGCCTTCCCTCCAGGGAGGACGAGAGGTCAGTCTGTTTTCATCTTCATCCTCAGATGAAGCAAGGAGGCCGGGGGCCGGGGGCCACTCTAGAACAGCAGCAAGAGATCTCCAAAATAAAATCAGAGCTTGAGAAGAAAGTTTTGTTTTATGAAGAGGAACTGGTTAGACGTGAGGCCTCCCATGTGCTCGAAGTGAAAAACGTGAAAAAGGAGGTGCACGATTCCGAAAGCCACCAGCTGGCTCTGCAGAAGGAGGTCCTGATGCTGACAGACAAGCTGGAGAAGTCTAAGCGAGAGCGGTGAGTTCCCCAGCGCCCAGGGGGCATGTATGCCCACGCCCCATCACAGCGCACACATGTGAAGACACGGGTGTCCCCTCCTGTCCCGTCACCTCAGGCACAGTGAGATGGAGGAGGCTGTGGCCGCCGTAAAGGACAAGTACGAGCGGGAGAGGGCACTGCTCTCCGACGAGAACAGGAAGCTGACTGCAGACAACGAGAAGGTAAGCAGACCCCTGAGCTAGCAGCCAGCGTGGGCGAGCGTCCGGCGTTCTCGTCCTTGTGTCCTGGACGTCCAGGACGTGGGCTGTAAGGCTGTCCATAGATGTCCTCACTCACTCCAGAGGCACCAACCCCGAAACCACTAGCCCCGCCAGTCTCAGTTCTCGGCCCGAGCATCGCGGACTCCGTCTGGAAACCCTTGTAAGGAGTAAAGCTTTGCAACCTCAGGAAGAACCCGTGGCGTGCCAGGCTAACGCGCTCGGGGTGGGCGTTTCGTTTCAGCTTTGCTCCTTTGTGGACACACTCACAGCGCAGAACAGACAGCTGGAACACGAGCTGCAAGATCTGGCCGCCAGGAAGGAGTCGGTTGCCCACTGGGAGGCCCAGATCGCGGAGATCATCCAGTGGTAGGTGCCGGCCGGCGGCCGACCGAGGAGCGCCACCGAGGCCGAGCCTCCCGCCCCGGTGGCTCAGCTTTTCCGCGCGGTGTTACTCCCGCCTGCCTGCTCCCCGGCC